TGTTTGCCGTCGCTGTTGGTTAGTTCTCCCAGCGGGGAGAACGTCACCGTGGGTTGTGGCATTGCGGTTTGTGCCGGAGTGAACCGGCGTTTCCTCCGAGGTAGGTGTCTGTGTGGACCGCTTGGCGATCCATCTGGCAGACCCTTGCCTTAGGTGAAGCATCCTGTGTACTGGGTATTCAGATCTATAGAGATAGATCTAAAAGGATGTTAGGATTATCGCAATCTAGATACATTGGCAAAGTGCTAAAACGGTTTAGCATGGAAAATTCCAAGAAAGGTTTTGTACCTGTATCTCCTGGAATCTCCCTGTCTAAAAAGATGTCTGCTCGGACTGATGAAGAGAGGAAACACATGAGTCTAATTCCTTATGCCTTGGCAGTAGGATCGATCATGTATGCCATGTTATGTACTAGACCAGATATCGCTTATTCACTCAGTTTGGTAAGTAGATACCAATCTGATCATGGAGAAGAGCACTGGAAAGCGGTCAAGAATATACTTAAGTACCTTAAAAGGACTAAGGAGTTATTTTTGATATACGGTAAAAATAACCTCCGAATGGAGGTTTTTTCCGACTCAAGCTTTCAGAGCGATATCGATGATAATAAGTCTGTATCAGGATATGTTTTCACCCTCAATAGAGGGGCTGTCAGCTGGAAAAGTTCCAAGCAGGATACAGTAGCAGACTCGACTATGGAAGCTGAATACATTGCAGCTAATGATGTAGCTAAAGAAGCTATCTGGATGAGGAAGTTCCTTTTAGAGCTGGAAGTTGTTCCCACCATTAAAGATTCAGTACCTTTATACTTCTGGATGAGGAAGTTCCTTTTAGAGCTGGAAGTTGTTCCCACCATTAAAGATTCAGTACCTTTATACTGTGATAATAATGCTGCAATAGCTCTGACAAAAGAACCCCGATCTCACCATAAGTCCAGACACATTCTGAGGAAGTATCACTTGATCAGGGAGATAGTTGATCGCCGGGAGATCAAGATTGAAAGAGTAGACACAAAAGATAATATGGCAGATCCATTCACAAAGGCAATTGCTCGTTCACAATTTGAGAAACTTGTTAAGCTATTGGGTATTAGATACTATAATAATTGGCCTTAGTGCAAGTGGGAGTTTGTTAGATATAGGTGCCCTGCAGGTAATTATTGTATATTGTAACAGGACATATATGTATATAACATCCTTGTTCAAAATGATAGTATGCTATTTTGGTCAGATTTATCTGATGTTCTAAAAATACAGATAATGTCCTTAGAATAAATACTAGACTATCAGACATTTCGGATAATGATCGTAATGAAGAAATCTGATTAGTCAGTAACGTATATTCTAAAATGTTCCTAGTTGATGAAGTGTTAAGATAGGACATCATCACTTTGGTTTAGACTAGTGTATGCTTTATTTCTCCTTTTGAAGGAGATGATCAATCTCTTAGATCATTGATGTGAGACATCAAGATACAGTATACAGGTGACTCATTAGTGAATGAGTTGACTGAACGACTCGCCGAGAACATCTAGTTGGTAATATACTTAACTGTCAAATAGAAGTTCTCAAGTGATATAGTACATAGTAGTCTCTTGACCTGAGGCATGAGTGCAATATCTTATATGTCAGTAAAGATGTATTTAGACTTTTACCTAACCACAGTTCTTATTGAATTGTGCATAACGGTTCTTGTTGGGTACATCCCGAGACATAAGTAGATATTGAGATGCCAAGAAGGGATTCGTCTCTCCCAGTATAGGGGTTGATGTCATAAGATTGTTTGATATAACTATAGCCTGGAAATCCTTGGCCAAGGTGAATAAGATAAACTGAGTGTCAGTTTGATCTTATAGGTTATGAGTTTAATATCAATAAACACTAATCAAGCTATTAGGGTTTGACAGTTTGCCATACCCTAGGCTCAATAGTTTGACATGGTTTGACGAAGAGACCGGACTGTACGGTATTATCATTGAGTGGTCCTGATAAAATTGGATAAGCATCTTGCAGACCTTTATCACAACTTATACCCGGGTGGTCTTCATGTGTAGCTAGCACCTCTGTTGTACTTATGGATATGATCCACTACCGAGTTTTTTAAGTTGGGCCCTAGAGTCACACCAAGCGCGTACTTGAATCCTATGAAACACAATTTATGGAGTGATGCGTATGATTGATACGCATATATGATTTCTTCCGGATACACATAAACGGTTATGTATATCGGTAAAATCGGAATGCTATGTGCTTAGGAAATGAATTCCAGTATTTTTCCCATAAAGTTAACTTTTAGTCAACTAGTTGACTTTTTGGTCAACAGTTGACTTTTGGTCAACTCTTGATTTATTTGGTCATATAGTGACTAATTAGTTAAAGATTGGAATAATACTATATACCGTATTTATGAAATACTGTATTAGTGATAATAATTTGGTATTCTCATTTATGAAATACACATACCATGTATAATGAGTCATGAGATGAGTCACTTAGTGGTATGGTTTGAGCACATGGTTTATTAGCACATGGTTTTGAAATGTAATGATTCATAAGATGATTCATTGCATGACTCATTTGATTAATCATTAATTTTTGATCATTCATTGCATGATTCATAGGATGAGTCATTCATATCATGAACACATTTCACTCTATAAATATGAGCTCTTTTTCTTATGGAAAGGTTAATGAAAAATTGGCTAAGTGTTTTTTTCCATAAGAGAATAAAAGAGAGCTCTCCTCTTACTAAACTTTAGCAATCTTTGAGCAAGAGGAAGTAGTAGGATTTTAAGAACCCCGGGGTGGATATCTTGCCTTGTGTCTTAAGAAGACTCCTATTTTATCAAGCCCACTTGAAGACTTGGAGATCCACTACGAGGAGATTTTCTACTACAAGGAGCAAGAGCTAGGGGTTATTCGTTCTTCCATCGAATCACGCTACGAAAGTATGACTTTCTAACTCTTGTATGCTCACTAAATAATAAGGATCATGTTAGATTTAATTAGACGATCCATATGAATATTTCATGCTCTCTACATGCTTAGTATTTTTGTACATACATGTCTTCCGCTGTGTATTATGCATGTAGATATAGCACGATTTCCTTCAGGAATAGCCTTTTTTTACAAAGAGTACAGAAAAGTTGAATTGCATTATATCTTATAACCAAAATGTTTACACAAAACATTTTCATTATATTTTCAAGATGCAGATTACAATGTTTACTAGAATAAGGAAAATATTGAATAGCCCCAAAACCACAATACATTTTTTCAAATATTCAACTTGTTCAATTACATGCTTCAATTCTCTTCGCAAATGCTTTGTTTCCAGCTCTTTTAATTCCGACACTGATTGAAGAGAAGGTTCTTCTTTTCTGGTTTCGCTATTTTTGATTTCTTTCTCATCTTCGGCCCACCTAAAGAATTTGCATGATCTATTTGGGTATTTGGCACAACCCCAAAAAAATTTTCCCTTGTTCGAACCCACTTTGCACTGCTTCAATCGTGTTGGTATATTGCATAAGCATTTTATCTCAGGAGATTTGTGCATACCTCTTTGGGCAGCAGCCATGGCTAAGCACTGTCAAAGAAGAAGACCCTTGGGTAATTTAATTTTGAAGAAGGCACCAAAATGAAGAGGCTCTATGAATTGTTGGAGCTTTCTAGCTTTGTTGCAACTGTAAATTACTCACCCAAGTGGACACAATATATAGATGGTTTTTACTTGACCGTTGCCAGCTCTTTACTTGTGTGCGGTTTTTAAAAAATGACCGTTGTGCTTTGTTCCGTTGGGATTATTGCTGTGAACTAGTTTGGGGGCGGTAAGCTCACCATGGTTTTGACATTCAACTCTTGTTTTGTTGGGGTATTTGTGCATACCAAACATTGGAAATGGAAATTTAAATAGGGATGTGATTTATTGTTTCTAAAGTATGAAACAAACATGTGGAAACAAAGAAATACATTTCAAGGGGTTGATTTCACTGTGAAACAAACAAAATAAAAGAAATACATTTCAAGGGGTTGATTTCACTGTGAAACAAACAAAATAAATAAAAACTGGGAAACACACTGGAAATGTCTTGAAATCATTTCATTTCAATAAATAAAAACTGGGAAACACACTGGAAATGTCTTGAAATCATTTCATTTCTTTATTTCTGTTTTCCCTTTTTTTTCCAGAAATGTACCAAACAGGCCCTTAGGGTTAGGGTATTTGAGGAATGATATGAAAAAACAAGAAAATTGTGAGGGTGAAATGATCATTCCACATATTTTTTGGGCTGAAAACTGGATTTGGTGTTACATAGCAAACATATTACCAAGTAAACGTGGTTTACATAATAAAACTTTAAAGCTAGTAGACATCAATTTGGGTAAAAGTAAATGTGGTTTTGATGTAAAAACCCTATTTTAAAATTAGACTCTCAAAATATTCAACCAAATGCTAACTAGAAGAACTAATTTCAAAATATTTAAAAAACTATGGGGACTAATTGCAAATATGAAGAATGTTGCAAACACGTAAAGATTTAGGGTAGTAATCTACTAATTTGAAAGTATCAAGAGTTTGGGGACTACTTTAAAATATGAAACAAAGTGGAGGACTGTATGGAAAACAATCCTTTTAGTTGTCCCTTTTCTTGACAACAAGGATGCTACACAATTTCTCATCGTCACGTTGTTCGTGAAATCAAAGAGGACCTTAGAGCATCTCCAACCATAAAACTCAAAATGGTATAGTTTTTACACCAAGTTGGTGTAGTTTTTACACCAAATTACTATTCCATCTCCAACCCATTACACCAAATGTTACACCAAAAAGAATATTCCTTTTATTATTCTTATCTTTTAACATTTTTTGAAATTAAAAATATTTAACAAATTATATAATTATATAATTATATAATACATATAATTAATTATAATTATATAATACATATAACAAATTATAATAAACTCCATGGCTAAAAAAAAAAAAAAAATTCACTGCGCCAAAGCTACAGTGCTGCGCCAAATCTGGCGCAGTACTGTAGCTCTCCCCCAAAATGGCGCTGGGGAAAGCGTTCGGTTGGAGGAGGAACAGGAACATTTTTTGCGTCATTTTGAGGGATAGCGTTCGGTTGGAGAAGCTCTTAAATACCAAAACAACTCAGTGCCGATTCGGACTAATTTCTGTGTCCGACAATTGAACTGCTCTCCCGTCTTCGTCTTGCTCGATTCCGACGTCAGCACCACCAGTTGCGACGGCGCCACCTCCAGCTCCAGCCGCTCTAGTCCTTTCTTCCGACGATCGATGCTCTACTTACGTGATCAATGTAAGGTAACATGAACTCGCCAACTTCCGCATTTCAAATTAGGGTTAGGGTTCTCATTTTGAAGTTATAATCTTTAAAATGTTGCACCTTGATTCCTCTCTTCCCCCTTTGGCCTGAGTGAGTTATTGTGGTATTAATAGTTTCGTGACATTCAAGTAAAGATCAGATTTTGAAACGAATAATGATAAATAATATAAAAAAAATTGAACCTGACATCTTTCAACATATCAAATTAGGATTAGAGTTTTGAGCTGATTTCAGTTCTTTGAAGTTATAATCTGTTTAATTGTTGAACCTTGATTTGATAGTAATAATTTACTGCCATCCTACAAGGAATAAGGAACTGATTTTGTGAACCATGTCGTCATAATTCTAATTTTATTTCACATGTCTCTTCCCATTAGAGATCATAACTGTTATAGGAAATATAAGTATGGTGATCTTTTTTGAACTAAACATCCAATGGCTTGAGAACAATTGGAAGACCATGCTGAGGTTGTAATGTAAGCATGTCATCAGGCTTGTGCTTGTAATCAGGGGAGAGAGAGAATGAGAATCTCTGTAGGATCATTGCGACGACTATCTTGGCTTCCATCATGGCAAAGTTCTGCCCGATGCATGCTCTTGGTCCTACTGAGAATGCTAGAAGTGCGTTTGGATGCTTGGCAGCTTTTGTAATTCCATTCTCGAATCTTAGCGGATTGAATTCATCTGCATCATCACCCCACAACTCCTTTTTCCGATGAATTATCGCTATAGGAATTGTTAATGTTGTGCCTTTAGGTATCGCTATGCCTCCCAAGTTCATATCTTTGTTAGCCTGCCTCATCATCTCGATAACAGGGCAGTAGAGCCTTAAGGTTTCCATCAGAACCATAGGCACCTGGAGAAGGACATTATTGAGTCATTGAAAAAATCGTTTGATGATTGTTTACATAAAAATGTTGTTTGTGTTTACCAGTTTGAGCTTGCTTATGGTGTCTGAATTGGGCATTTCTGTTCCGCATTCTCTGACAACCTCTCTTCTTAACTTGACCTGCCATTTTTTATTTGTGCTCAACAAGAACATAGTCCAAGCTAGCAAGTGGGAGGTTGTCTCATGCCCAGCGAAGAAGAAAGTCTTGCATTCATCGATGATCTCATCTGTGTTCAAACCCAAACCATTTTGCTTTTGAGCAGACTCAATCATCAGTCCAAGTAAATCTTCGCCGTAGCCTGAATCCTTGGAATTTAACCTCTCCTGGATGATGTTATGTAGGGTATCCCTCATTTTATGTTCAAGCTTCCACTTCTGTCTATTCCTCTTTGTAGGAAGATAACTGTTAAAAAGAGAGCATGTAATTGGAAATAGGATTGAACCTTTATCCCTTTAGTCTTGTTATTACAAAATCAACGTGAAGATTACCTGAATCCAGGTATGTGTACATCAAGGATAGTAGCTAAAGTAAGCATCTGGAGCTCCTTCTGTGCATAAAAAACTTCCTTTCCCTCAATGTAACTGCTCCCAAAGGCAGTATGGGAGATCACATCTGCTGTTAGCTCCTGAAACTGCCTGTTGACCTCGATGAAATTATGCTCCATTGAACTGTTCCCTTCAGTGGGAGTTATGTGACTTCGCCAAGTATCTAGCATTGACAGAGTGCAGTCTGCCATCCTTTTTGTCATCATCTATAAACCACAGTCCAAGTGTAGCTAAGCTTCCTTCAGGGTTTCTTAGTACTTGAAATAAGGTAAACTATAAGTTATTGCATTATAAGCGAGTGATATAAAACTCAAATGGATTCTTTCACAAGGTTGAACTGTGATTTACAGTAATTACCATCAAGAATGAAGAAGATTACGGGGTAGGCTGAGCATGTGAGTTTGGCTACGGCAAATATTTTATAGTGATTGTCTCAAGAAAGCCTTCAATGGATTCTTTAAGCCCTTAAATGTCATATATATTGAAGGAGGAGGGACTCAGATAAGGTTGTTTGACTTCCAAGACTCTTAAACCGTTAATTGTAGTCAACTTTGTTACGCTAGGTGTAAAGAAAGTGTTCCTAAGGATATACTTTCCTGGTTATCAGAAGTACCTTGGCCCTTTTTACTCTCTTTGTTTTAATTTTTTTGATTAAATAATTGCTGCGAACACATGATAAAGGTTTATATGCAACTCAAAGCTTAGAGTTGGATGTCTTGTTTTCAATCTTTGTTTGCAATTCTCTATAAAAATATATTGGTTTTCCTTTTCACTAGCCTCTTTCATGTCTAGGTAATTTTTGAGGATTCATGTTCTTGGTTTTGAACTTAAACTGCTTGAACTATAAGGTAGGGTCTACAACATACAATTGTGGTGATAGCCATGCCACTAGCCTATAAATTTCAATCCAGACCTTGAAATCAAACTCGTGGTGTCTTCTATATCCTGATCACCAAAAATGTCCCAATCACTAAGGAAGCGGTTTAATAAGCTGTTTTATTATATTTCTCTTAGTATTGCCTTTACTTATTGAATTAATGGCTTAAAGATTAAAAGTAAACTGATTATTTAGTTCATTAAGAACTGAAAATTAAACTTTTCCAAATTAATATAGTCACATTTATCTTTTGAAAACTTGCTTTACGGACACTGAAACAATGTTGTTTCTATTGTCAGATTGCTTAATTTCATGTCATCTGTTATATATATGCATGCATCTTCCCGTACACATTCACACATAACTACATGTGTAATAATTGAAACAAACTTAAGAAACATTCCCAACTGTATCATGGTCCCTGATATCTATCTAATTAAGCCTATCATGTTTATATCACATACCATAAAAGTAGCATATCTCGTACCCATCAGGAAACAAAGTGCATCATGAATGTGATAACACTGTATAAGCCTTCCTTCTTTATGATTTCTCTATAAGGAATTTAGCAACAGCAAGAGGATTGATGTCAAATTGACTAGCGTTGATAAAATATTTAAATGATTCGTGTACCCTTATTCTTAACGATGGAAATCTTGACCGAGCACAAAAATTTTACCTTGAGTTAGCGAATTTGGGAGGTTATACATTTATAACTTATAAGCAGGTTAAAACTTCTCTTACCAAGTTGTAAAGGGTTTGGGTACGGTTATGATCTTTCTAGCCTTTGTTTCTTGAAGGTAACTATGTATTCCTCAAGTTAATACACCACATGCAATAAATATGTTAGTGATCAATTCTTTGCATTTATTCACATTTGATAGAGGTTCAAAACTCAGGTACTATTGTTCTTTCTTCTAATATAAAAATTACTAGGGCGTTTAAATTAATATTACTAGAAAAACTAGGATATTATATAAATGTGCAACAAGCAAAATTAATAGATTGTGAATCCTATCGGAACACTTCCCGAATGGGAAGTGATATTGTTAGGATTTTTGTTAAAATGAATACAACGATAAGTTATGATATGGTTAGTGATTATAGATGCCTGGTGGATCGTGAACTTCAATGTTAATCATATGTTTTTGAAGCAAAAAATTCCTTAGCTCTTATACAACGTACGTGTATTGATATTGATCCAACTATTAGCGTATCAGATAGGGGCTGAAAAAATTCACCCGTTTACTAATAAGGTAAGTTAATATCAACAGTAAGTGAGTTGATCTGATAACCACTTGAATTAAAAGGAGCAGATGCAATTGCCACCCCCACTCATTCTTTATATTCCAGATTTTAAATAAGAAAATGATGGTGAATTTCAAATTATATCACAGTTAAAATTGATACATTAAAAAGAAAAATTCAAGAGATAAGCTAAGAGAAACACTGGAATTTGAAAATATTTTTGAAAGTATTTGCTAAAAGTTGTGGTTGGAAGTTAATTGTTTCATAAAATTTTTCTTGGTTGTAATATGATGAGGTTTATTGAGAATATGTTAACACTTTTAAAGGAATATATGGTTAAATAGTTACCATGGGACTACTAAAAGTTTGTAGGAAAAAATATTTTAACAGAAATTTATAGTAGAACCTTATGAATCTTTCCCAACATCTTTTTTAAAATAATCATTATATTATACTTCGATATATATGTGTGTGTAGAGAGAGAGATGAGTATTCTTGGTACTAAGAACAATTTTGTCCTGGGTAGTGAGATGGCTCATTCTAATCCAATTATTTGGATGGTCCCCTACTTGAAGATGTTCCCTTCCCAGAAAATGAGCAGATGAGAATGAGCCACCTCGCTACCAAGGACCAAAAAATTACTCATATTCCTTATATATACGTGTGTGATCATAGAATAACTACAAGACTAAAGGAAATTTTCTATAGAATGATTATAATACCAACACGGCAACAATTCTTTAGGGATTAGAATGTTGGGCAAATTAAAAAACACGTGCACAAAATGAGTGGAGGAGAAATGAGGATGTCATTATGGTATTGTGGATATACACTAAAAGATAGGATATTAAATGAATGCATCCGTGGTAAATTAGAGGTTTCTCCTGTTGATGATAAAATAAGAGAGGATCGACTAAGATAGTATGGTCATGTACAACCTATGATGCATGGGTACGCATACATGTATAGGTTACGAGAAATTTATAAAAGGTAGAGTACGGGGACATAGCTATATAAATATTTATATACACACATTGTATATATTGAAATTAATAGTTTATATTAGAACAAGGATGAGAATTAAAATTCCTATAACATTTTTATGTTTCTTTTATTTTGTGGATTATAAATTGGAAAATCACTAGTTCTTGAACTAGACATCCAAATGAGTCCCATTCAAAAATATAATTCAGAACCTGACCTATATTCAACGAGTTTTAAAAAGTGGATGTGAAGTGTAGGATATATGTCCAGAAAATGTATGACAATTATTTTAAATCAAAACATATATTGTATAATTGAGTACATGCGCAAATAAATGTATGCATATATGCGAGGAATGTCCAAGGAGATTGGGTAGGGGTACAGGTATAGGTACGTGTCGGGTACGTGTACTACTTTAGATTAGAAGTACCCATCTAACATAGTGTACAACAAAGACCACTTAGTGCACCGGTTAGGAAAATTGATAATATTATAATTAATGGGGATAAGAGATATAGAGGTAGACCGGAGAGAACTTGATTGGAAGCAATTAAGAAGGGTATGATAATGATTAACTTAACAGAGGAGGTGCCTTGTTGTTGTTGTAAAACACATAGATAAAATTTTGTCAAAATAAGGTTCATTGTACATTTTAGAAACTAAAATTTCCTCTTGTAAATTTTTAAATCATGACTTGGTTTTTTTATCATGCATATGCCATATGGTCTCTCGCTCATATCAACATGCCTTGATACTTTAGGGTAATAATTGGTGTACCATATTTAAGAATTTCATGATAATTTTATTTTTGTCAAACTAGTTTAATCAAAATTTTAATTGCCGCTATGTAAACAAACAATTTATCTAATCACGAATCCAAACAAGAGAGATAAATCCATACGTATTAAGCATCAATTTCAACACATGCATTAAAAGGGTTATGCCTGAAAATTTTTTATTACAAATTGGTTGAATAAATAGTTTCCGTGACTCACTACACAAATCTTTGACAAGTTATTTTCATTTGCTTGTGTGCCAATATTCAAAATATTTAAGGCTTATTATCATATTCTCAATGTCATGAATATGATCAGGAAAAAAATCACATACTAGAATCTTATTTTGACAAAATGTTATCTATGTGTTTTAAATATATATTTCATATTATGATATATAATGATTATTTTACAATAAATATTTTGAAAATCACGATTCATATCATAAGGTTCCACTATAATTTTTGTTAAAAATAATTTTTCCTGAAAACTTTTAGTAATCCGGTGGTTACTATTTAACCACATTTTTTTTTAAAAGTCCCAACATATTCACAATAAACTCCATCTTGTTAGAACTCAAAAAAATATTTTGAAACAATGAACTACCAACACAAAGCCTTTAGCTAATACTATTGAAAGATATTCAAATTTTAATGGTTTCTTAGGCTATTAATTGAGTTTTTTGTTTTTTCAATGTATCTATGTCAACTGTGGTATAATTTTAAACCACACTATTTTTCCTATAAAGCGGATGCAATTGCCAACCCCACAATGTTAAAGGTGCAGCAAAGGTTTGAATCTCAGAGACCAAGGATAAGAAAGGAAGGATAATTTGTCTAAGTGCGTAGCTGATAAAGGGAGAACTCTGACTAATCTGTCATTTAACATGAGGTTACTTACAAAATTCAATGCATTTGTATCAGTGTTTTGGAGCGCTTGGTTTCTTTAGTACTCAACACCCGTAGTTTTTAAGGGTTCATAAAGTTAAGCCATTTCAGAACATGTTATCTTCTATATTACAGTATTAATTTAGTGGTGATATTGACAAATGGTTGAGAATAGGATGAGATGAAGCTGACCTTGAGCTTGTCCATGGTGAAAGCAGGGCTGACAACCCTCCGATGTCTAGCCCACTCTGCGCCTTCAGTTAAAACCAATCCCCTGCCCAAGAGAGCCAATATACCGGGGTGTTGCCTACTCTTGGTGTAGAAACCAAACTTGTTTGAGAGCACTTGTTTAACCATCTCTGCATCAGTGATGCAGACCCTTGCTTGTGTTCCAAACCAATACAGAAAGGTTTCTCCTGTGGTAAAATAGATGATGAAGAACAGAGAGAAGTAATTTTGCATGCTTCCTGAATTTCAAGTTTCCTGAAGGGTAAATTTCGAAAACTCCCCTTACGTTTGGCCCTTCTTTGATATAACCCCTTAACTATTTTAATTCTGAAACCCCCTGACCTTCTATTCCACTAAACACGTTGGAGGTTATTCACTTTACCCACCAAAGTAACATTGTCAAGTTGAACCTGTCATTTACCAAGTGTGTGACAGAAAAAGATGAAAATACCCCTCAGTCCTATAAAATTTAATGGAAAAAAGACTGAAAGGATGAACGAGAGTTTTGTGAAATCAAAATAGTTAAGAGGGTTTATCACAAAAAAAGACAAGCTTCTTTTGGGTTGGGGGGTTGTGAAATTTACCATTTCCTGAAGTATGCCAAAAAACGTATATGGTTTCCGGTACATATATGGAAGAGTCATACCATATTGATGTATCCACTTGTAATAATGGGGAAGAACTCTGGGAGTGAAATCATGAGAGTGGATTCCCATCTCTATCTCATTCGCTACTTTTTTCAAGTTCCTAATCTCTTCAAGACTACCTGACCAGAACTTGTACTTAGGTCCACTGACTCCTTGCCTCTTGAACCTCATCGTTATAAGAAGTGGCCTCCATGTTAGAAATGTCAAGACCCTCCAAAGGCTTGAGACCAGTATAACTCCAAAAGCTCCCAAGATCAGACCAAGATAGCTCATCTTGGAAGGCCTTTAGGTTTGTATTTGTGTTAAAGGTTCGAATAGAATGCTATTTATAGCGTAAGTTGCTGGTCAACTGCAGCTTTGGTGATGAACGCAAGGAGGCTGAGAGCCTGAGGTCTTGTGAAGAGATGTACGTGCATGTAGTCATCGATTCGTTTGAGATGAGAGTTTGGATCGTAGCAATGCATTGCATTAGGAGATTTTGGATTGTAGCAATGTTCATCCAAGCAGTAATTGCTTATAAGATGATGACAGAAACAGCTCCAAGCTAAGATTGGCAAGTTTTGAAGGTTATAATAAGCAAGAAGTTGGTATCGTTCTTAAAATAAGTGTTTGAAATGTTAATTGAACTCCATTTGCTTTGATTGTCCAATTAGTTGCTTTCGTTGGATTGTTTTCGTGCTTTTGGTTGCTTTGATCTGACAAATTATTAACAGTTAGGATGCTTCTAACAATGCTTTTGCCTGATTGTTTGAGATGAGATTTAGGAGTAACAATGGCAAGTTACTAGGAAAATTTGGAGTGTAGCAATATCATTCGAGCACTAGTTGCTTAAGAGGATGATGACAGAAACAGGTACGAGCAAAGATTTCCAAGTTTTACCTGGACAAACAAAAAAAGAAAGTTGGTGTTGTTCATAAATAGGTGTCTGAAATGTTTTGATTGTCGAATAACTTGCCTTCGCTTCCATTGCTGTTTTTGGCTGCTTTTCTCAGATGTATTATAAAATTCTCTGATTGTCAATCTTTTCTTAGAGCTTCTTGTGCTAAACCGATGTATTATGTCTTATTCCCTCACAAAATTCCTGGTCCTGAGCTTGTTGTCAAGATCCGACGTATTATGAGTTTTTCTACCTTTTTTTTCCTCCTTAATTGATGGAAACATTGCTTTCTTATGCTAATTGTTAAGTGGTTATAAATCATTGAAAATAGAGCAAGAATCTCGATTGCACACAATTGTCAGCTTACTACTGTTATTAATTGTTGTGTTAACTAGACCAAGTACATAAGCTGCAAAGGGTGACTCCTGAGGGCACAAAAGTTAACCTGTGCCTGCAATTAATCAGTAACAAAATTCAAATGTTAATTTTACCACAAAAGGTAATACTTACTGTTAAATTTAAACTTATGTTAAATTTCTTATATTAGTATTTGGACAGGATCATCACATTGTGACAAAACTTAACTACTGACAGGGGGTTTCTTCTTGGTGGTCTTGGAAGATTGACCCACGAACACTGCTACAGGGACCCAAAATATAGGACCATTGGAGGGAACATGTGAGGTGGCCCCCTCTTATTGCATAATGAGCTGACCATGTCAGCTCATTATGCAATAAGAGGGGGACACCATACCTGTCCCCTCCAATGGGTCCCATATTTTGGATCTTTAAGGCATTTTTCTTTGGATAATTTTTATGGGACACCTGATGTCAAACGTTAAACTTCTTTAAGTTGGACGCTCGGGCCCCCTCGCCTAAATGGATGGCAGATCATCTTAAAACGGTTGTGTTTTCTACCTCTAGTGGGAGTCTGAATTTCATACCCCTGTCCGCTCCGCACGTGAGTGAGATGTTCTATACCAATTCATGGAGATAGTGAGTATTAATTTCAAGATTTCTCCCATGATTACTATAGAACCACCCGCTAGCTGGCATAGAGGGTTGCTCCGATATAATCCATGTTCCTCTAGACTCTAGCTAAGTGCTTTAATTAGAAGTTCAAATGTCAATGGTCTTTTGCCTGTAAGCCCAAAGTTTACCTACATTTATTTTAAACGCATCTAGTTTCAAAAAATCGAGCAGTTTCTCAACTACTCTTAAACTCAAAATATCCTATTAAATTATTTGTAAACCTGCACCATGTATTTCAGCTATTCGATATATCGTAGTAACAAAACAATTAAAAATTCTGAAAACATACTTCTAAAGAAAGCAATTTTCAGATATCTGCAACCTGAGCAACGTATGGCAACTTACAGCAGTATATAGCAAATTACAACAGAATAAACATGTAATAACAAATTACAACATCTTACTACTAATTGTAGCAACTTACAACAAAACATAGCATTACAAAAATATAAAAATGTAGTTTGATTTTTGTGGTACATTTTGAGAAAGCATTTTTTTTGGGATTTTTAAAATTTTACTTGTTGGCTTTTTTGGCAGAAGCAAGCGTACACTCGATGAAAACCTCATTGACATGGAGATAAGATTTAGACTGATGTGTCATGTGATATCAATCGTGGGTGTTGAAGTAGGCGATACAATATCATTTATTTTACTCTCTTATTGTTGGGCTTGAATCGTAGAATTATATCCTTACAAGATTCAGCTTAGGTTTTATTCTCGAATAACGCTTTCTATAATATCAATCTCAATAGTATTTTTTGATTCTTTAGTTAAATACAGAAACAAAAAAAAAAACATTTATTCTAATTTTTTGTGGTCAGCAATATGAATTATACTCTTCCATGTGATTTTGTTGAAGATTACCAACTCCACTGTAGTAAGCATTATATATATCCTTGTTAATAATAATTAGCCAAGTTATTTCAGTTCAATATATAGGCATTCTTTCTCCATTAATTATAACATTACTTATTGCTCCTCCTAATTAGCACATATACTGTAGTTTCAACTGTTATTTCAAAGCAAATATTAAATATGTTTGTATTTCACAGTACAAAACTAAAAAAATTTATAAGTCTTATATTTTGAAAAATCATTTTCCTGTTCTAGTTTAGATTGCCACTAGTCGCGAACATATCATTTTTTTCCGCTATAGTAATTCCGATTTTTAAATGCTACAGTATTTTTACTATTTTTTTTGGATTGCTACAGTTCCCACCTGTGCTACAAATTTTAAAAATGCTACAGCATTCCCCTTAGAACATGCCTTGTCCAAATCTAATAAAATGTGTTACTCCCTTAAATTAGAAAAAAGTGAGTACCGGTAATTGTATCTAGTGGGCATACATGGAAGAATGTTGTCCTACTTTTCTTTTCTTAATTGATGGAAAATCTCTTTATAGTTGTGATAACCATGCAAAATTCTAATTTGTTGAAACGAGATCAAATATCTTGACTACACATATTATTGTCAGGGTGAATCCTGACAATTATTGTGTTAACTAGGCTAGGTTATATCTATCCATTTCTCTTATGCACTCATTGAATTTTTCTTAGGTCATATTATTACTGTCTCCTCACTACCAAATGGTTAGTTTATCTACCACCCAAAGTATTTATCACCTGGTCCAACACTTATTATATGGTTACACTTATACATGGTCGGTGTTGATTTTTAACACATCTGACAAACATGTATTATTTTAAATATCCTTGATATAGCTGATATATTGGTCAATATATCCTTTTATAAGAATTGCTGCAAAATGATATGCTATCGATATCCTTTCACATTTTTAGGCAATTTTTGACTGATTTATCCCTAACATGGCCTATACATGTACCGATATGTTGGCCGATATATCTACAATATGATAGACTAGTTTTTCAGTTAATACAACAAGCTTTCTTTGTTAAAGATAAAAAAATAGTTCTGAAAATTTCTTTAATGTTTCAAAACAAAAAATTTAGCCTTTTTTAGCAAAATTCTAAAGGATCTGTTCCCTAAGATTCTAAAATTGGCTAGTGATCCTAAATATATATTATTTACATTTTTGTATACTTAGGTTTTATTAAGTATGTATAGATTGTATTTTAGAACATTATATTATTTTTGCACATGATTTGATATGGTATTCTGAAATTTACTATATATCCTTAATATTTCCCTAATATCCGTTGTGATATAGATTTTGGCTGTCCGATATTTCCTCGATATAATGTTTAAAATCTTGCAAACAAGTTAAGCTTCCATCCCCTGGACCTAAATGATCGTGTTCCCACTCTTGTTCCCATGTGCATTTTTTGAAAATTCCTAAACTGACTATGTTTTCTTTCTCTTCATTCTCTCTTCTCTCTTATCTCTCATATGTGTTGGATTTAAATCTAATTAAATCTAATTGTGGGCACATATGATTAATCAATGTGTATTGCTGTTTTTAAGGATAATCCACTTAAAGTGATCAATCAATTTGGGTTAATGGATATTTAAATAAATCATGTGGTTATATGTGCAGATACCAGATTATAATTGTAATTTGATAAGGGGTCAAATTATAAATGTACAACACCTATATATATGGGGTTATGATCCCTAATCTAGGGTTAGCCACTCTCATTCTCTTATCCTCATCTAAAGAGATCCCAAGGAGAGAAACCCTAAGGTTAGAAGATCATCAAAACCCTAATCAGGTTTTCCTCAATGGATTCAGGTATATGCTTTCGCACCTTTTGATTCTTGTTAATCTCTTTGAATCAATCATGGTTTTAAGGTTTAGATCTCAAATATTAGATCTAACAAGTGGTATCAGAGCCATCGTTGATTTGTTCTAAGAGATTAAGATTAAATTTAGGGTTCTTTGATCTTAATGTGTTTTATTCAGATCTGTTCACGGATAAACAATAACGTTTGTTGATTTTTTCGGATGAACAGTAACATTTATTATTTTTCGGATGAGCAGTAACATTTTTTTGGATGAACAATAAAGATTTCCTTTTTTGTTTGGTTTTTCTTTCAATTTTGAATCAAAAAAAGGTCATCTTTTATTCTGGATCTGATTTTGAAATAAAATCGAGGAATTTTTGGATCTATTTTTGTTTGGTCGTCGATCCCATGCTCCTCGCCGGCGAAGTGTCGCTGGCGACCTTGCTCTCGACTCCGATGGTGACGGCGGCGTTAGGAAACCCTAGGGTTTCGACCTCTGGGTGCGGGAGCAATGGCGGCGGCGGTTTCAGATTAAACCCTCAAGGGGTTCGTGCGTGTGAAAACGTGGGGAAATTAAGGAGGTGGTTACCTCAATTTTTGGCAAGGCTTGAAAGCTTCAAACGAACTTCGCGTTCGTTCTAGGGTGAGCCTCGCGATCAAATCAAACGAACTTCGCGCTCGTTCTAAGGTGAGCCTCGCGCTCGATTCAAACGAACATCGCGTTCGTTCTCAGGCGAGCCTCGTGCTCGATTCAGACGAACCTCGCGTTCGTTCTTAGGCGAGCCTCGCCATCAGGGGCATAGAATCCGAAGGGATTACTAAGGCTGCGATAATTTCTGCTAACATCAACTCAATTCCCATGCTCAATGGGACAAATTTCAAGGTTTGGAAAGAGAACATATTAATTGTTCTTGGCTGCATGGATCTAGACCTTGCATTAAGAACTGAACAACCTCAACCTCTCAATGCGGATAACACTCCTGATGCAAAGAAGGAGTATGAGAAGTGGGAGCGTTCAAATCGCATGAGTCTTATGATCATTAAGCGCGGCGTTCCGGAAGCCTTCAGGGGCATAGAATCTGAAGGGATTACTAAGGCTAAAGATTTCCTTGCCGAAATTGAGAAGTGTTTTGTGAAAAACGATAAGGTAGAAACAAGGACACTTTTAGCTCGTTTGATTTCAATGAAATATAAGAGCAAAGGAAATATCAGGGAGTACATTATGAAAATGTCTCATATTGCTTCAAAGCTTAAGGCACTTAAACTCGATCTTTGTGATGAGTTATTGGTGCATCTGGTTCTGTTGTCTTTTCCTGCACAATTCAATCAGTTTAAGGTCAGTTATAACTGCCAAAAGGAGAAATGAACTCTAAATGAGCTCATTTCATACTGTGTGCAAAAAGAAGACAGGTTGAAGCAAGATAAGACTGAAAGTGCTTATTTGGCTTATGCCTCTAAGGATAAGGGCAAGAAAAGAAAGAATGATAATGAAGCTGATAAGGGTCCAGTTCAGAAGAAACAACATAAGGATAATCAGGGTTGTTTTTTCTGTAACAAGCCTGGACACGTAAAGAAGGATTGTACCAAATATCACGCCTGGCGTGCTAATAAGGGTACGTTCCTTACTTTGGTCTGTTCTGAGGTTAATTTAGCTTCAGTACCTAGAATCACTTAGTGGTTAGACTCTGATGCTACTACTCACATAAATGTTTCTATGTAGGGTTGCCTGAGCTACCGAAAGCCAAGTGATGTTGAAAGACACATCTTTGTGGGCGACGGTCAATCGGTAGATGTGAAAGCAATTGGGCATTTTAGGTTGCTATTAGGAACTTGTTCTTATTTGGACTTAAAAGATACTTTTGTAGTACCGTCTTTTAGACGGGATTTGATTTCAGTTTTTGTATTGGACAAATCAGGTTATTCTTGTTCATTTGGAAACAATCAATTCAGTTTATCTTTTAATTCAAATATTGTGGGAACTGGTTACTTGAGTACTTATGACAATCTATATTTGCTCGATACAATTACTTCTTATAATGAATCATTGCATGTGGAATCACGTGGTACAAAACGTAAATTAAATAAGAAAAATTCGGCGACATTATGGCATAAGCGCTTGGGTCATATCTCAAAAGGTAGAGTTGAGCGTCTTGTGTCTAATGACATTTTGGATTCCCTTGATTTTTCGGACTTCGACGTATGTGTTGAATGTATCAAGGGAAAATAGACCAAAGTTAAGAGATTAGGTGCCAACAGATCGTCGGATGTCTTAGAATTGATACATACGGATATTTGTGGGTCATTTCCTACGACATCTTGGAATGGTCAATAATGTTTTATATCATTCATAGACGATTACTCACGTTATGGGTACCTATATCTCATTCATAAAAAATCTGAGTCTCTGGACATGTTCAAAGCCTATAAAGCTGAAGTTGAGAATCAACGCAACAGAAGAATTAAAACCGTTAGATGTGATCATGGTGGTGAGTACTACGGTAGATATGATGGTTCAGGTGAACAACGTCCAGGACCATTTGCTAGATACCTAGATGAATACGGTATCGTCCCACAATACACAATGCCGGGTTCACCTAGCATGAATGGTGTAGCTGAAAGATGAAACATGACTCTTAAGGATATGGTAAGAAGTTTGATTGCTCATTCTTCTTTACCAGAGTCACTCTAGGGAGAAGCACTAAAGACAGCAGCTTACATTCTGAATAGAGTACCAAGTAAAACAGTTGTTAAAACACCTTATGAGCTTTGGACTAGTCGAAAGCCCAGTTTAAAACACTTACATATTTGGGAATGTCCACCTGAGACAAGGCCTTATAGGCCAAATGAAAAGAAATTTGACTTCAAAACAGTTGGCGGCTACTTTATTGGGTACTCTGAACGCTCTAAGGGCTATAAGTTTTATGATCCCACACTCAGGAATATTTTTGAGACGGGAACAGCAACATTCTTTGAGGATGTTGAGTTTGGGGGGAGAAATAAGGTCAGAGACATTGCTTTTGAGGAGGAATTGGCTTCAGATCCAATCCATA